AGAGAGAGAGAGAGAGAGAGAGAGAGAGACAGAAGAGAGAGTGAAAGAGAGAGAGCGAGAGAGACAGAAGATAGAGAAATGGAGAGAGAGAGCAAGATTAAGTTGACTGATATATATATATATATATTCCAATCAAAACAAATCTTATTTCATTAAAACATATAAAGGGGAGTACCATCACTTAATCGAACCTCGCTATATAATATTCTAAACATCTGTACAGATGACACAGCACTTTTACACCACCATCTCCTTTACATATACATAATTAGGCACTATGTTGATGTGGGCTCCAGGATATAGCAAGGCAGAGTAAACGTTCCGCTACGTGTCGCATACGAGCTCAATTGGCAGTGCTGCTAGTTCGTCACACCGACACAGCATTGCAAATTAAATCCGTACACAACACACACGGCCGAAATCTTTTTCCACGATGCGTGCAAAAGCCCCCCCCCCAATAGAACTCCCATCAACGTGGGGAACATGCGCAGGTACCAGGTACGTTGACGATGGATTCTGCAGTCATGGCCTGCCCTTACTCTCACGTAATTAATCTATTCGCAGGCTGAGCTAATTAGCAAGCCCTGATGAGATCTGCCTACAGCGTGCTGGTTGCGACGGCCCGCATTCCAGTGCTGACATCTGGTGGCTGCTCCTGATACCACTCGTCTCGCAGTTCAAACTCCCGCGTGATGCTGTTGCTGTTGGTACGTCCCCCCCCCCCACCGCGGGATTCTCCTCCCCCTGCACCGCCCCCCTCCCCCACGCGGGATTCTCCTCCCCCTGCACCGCTCCCCTCCCCACCGCAGCACCACTCCTCTCTCCCCGCACCACTCCACTCTCCCTGTACCACTCCCCACCCCGCACCACTCCACTCTCCCTGTACCACTCCCCTCCCCCGCACCGCCACATCCCTTCCTTCCCGCACCGACTCCTCCCCTCGCACCGCTCCCCTCCCCACCGCAGCACCACTCCTCTCTCCCCGCACCACTCCACTCCTGAGTCGGAGA